GTCATTGACTTTCTAACAGCTGCAAATGCAACAGTTACTGAGTCAGTAGTTCACATTAAGCTTGTGTTCCTTGAAGTACATCTCGGCAGAACTTCAAGTGTGCCTTGGACCACTCCACGACATTTTTTATGACCCCGTCTTGACATTTTAGACATCAGAATTTGGAGGCGCAGAATGCTTTTCATAGCTTTTACCTACTTTGTAAACATCACTTAGCTCCATTTTCAGATTGTCAGCCATCTACTTAGAGGAGCCCATGACTGCTGGCTCTTCAAACTCAAGGTCTGAGCCAAAGAATTTAACTTCTAAAGCTGTAATCAGTTGAAAATACATAATAACAGTACTTGACTTAGCATTCTTAGTTTGTCATTTACGGCTTAATGATTACGTGACATTCTGAGACTTTACAAGAGGGAACTTTTCCTTAATTTAATTAATTTAAGTTTATTTAGTTTAATGGAGAAAAAGTAGCAATGCAATCAGAGTTGAAGAAATACTCGCATTTTAATATACTTTTACTGCATGGTTGCCTTTTTGCATTCACCAAAGTCTAAATGTGCCCAACCTTTTTTCATGCGATTACACTCTTCACCATAAATTTAATTGGCTTAACACATTTTTTTTTAATTTACCTAAAACTTATTTTCTATTCTACTTTTTACTACAAGCTATATTCACCCATTCACAGCACTCTTATTCTATTTACTATCTTCACCCCTCACAACCTAAAGTATCTATTGGGCCGGCAATTTGTGTCACAGATTATTGCCCAAGGACACCAAAAAACTGTGTACCGGAGGAGCAGGGGTAATCAAACCACAAACCTTCCAATTAGTAGTACATCCCACTCTACCACTCAAGCCACAGCTGCCCCAGTAAAACCGAGAGACTGTTGAAAACTGGAACAGAAACTGTGCTTTGGTTAAGTCACTGTGTGTATATGTGTGTGTGTCATTGCTGTTCATGTCTGCTCTTTGTCGCATGGCCACAAGGTTGGGGGATACTTGCCTTTCAGGGACTCCATATTTTATTTATTGTAGGGAGTGTGCATAAGAGCAAGGCAGAGAGCAGAAGGAAAAGGGAGAGGAGAAAAGCATGAGAGTGACGCACAAGGATGAAGGTGAGACAGAATGAGCAAAAAAAACTTTAGAATAGACATTTGAAACAATAAAAAAAAAATACTGCAGCGGAAAGGCACATGATGAAAGAATATTATATTGTTTACTCTCCACATTTTTATACCTTCCAAACTAACTTTCTTTCTCCAGAAAACTGCTACCATACCACACTGCTGCTATTCCATTATATGTCTGCATGCCTAACTCTGATGTTCTTGCATTTACACAACTGGAACTAATGGCACTGCTTCTGGAGTCCTTCCGAATTAACCCTTTGAGTCAGCCAAGCACACAAATGCACACAGACACACAAATACACTGCTTAAAAACTCCTGAGGGGAAAGTTACTAAAGAAAATTAATGAGTTGTATCAAATAGCTCAGGAACCATGCAGTGTGTGCACTTTAACTCTTGTTGTGTGGTGTCAGAGAAGCAGTTGTTAAGGTTATAAAGAGTAGCAAATTGAGTGCCCAGTTACTGGCTGCACACACAGAGCTAAACTTAGTATACTGTATCTACATGACAATACTTTTCACACCCCTCAGGCTACAGTCTTGGTTTTAAGATTGGCATTTGCAATCTTTATCTATAGCTGTAGCTATGATTGATTCAGCTATGAAAAGCTGCAATAAAACATTGTTTTTGAAGGTTCAGGCTGTTGATAAATTAACTGCATGACACATAAAGAGGTTCGCCTGCAGCTCTCAGAGGTGAGGGTTGTACACGTGGGAATTTATCTGATATTGACTAAGTTATTACATCTCAGCTCGCACAGAAATCTATTAAAAACTGGATTTACATTAATTGTGTGAGTGTGCGTGATAATGAATATTTTCTCACAGTCATGCTGCATCTCTCACGCTCAAGGTCACGGTAGCTGCATAGTGTAATAAGTTCTACCAGTAAACAGTTTGTGTATCCGTCCTACAGCAGGCCTTTCCCTCCCTGAACCTTTACAATAGCAGCAGGATTGAACTACGCTCAACTCAGACAAGTCAGATATGTCTCTGTGTGCCTGGGGGCTGGCTAAACTGAATCTGCTTCGATAGTAACAGCACTGTAGAAGTCTAAACGCAACAAGTCTCACTGGATTTTCTTTCTCTTTTCATATATAAAGATGTGACAATGTCAAGCTGAAAAAGAAATATTTTATTGCACATTAGCACATTCAGAGTTAAAAGTTTAGTATGAGACCAATAGCTCCTGTCTCAAAACAGTTAGAAATACTTTTTGTTTGTTTGTTTGCTTTCTTTTGACAAAGTGTGTAATTCCAAATCTCAGGCATAAAGCAGCGGATGAGTCTCACATGTGACATGTGTACAAGATACTCAATTTCGTGCATGCTCAAAAAGCACACAGCGGCGCAATCAAGTAGTCACTTTCACACCCACATCTACATGTTAATGACATGTTAGCATGTGGCTGTGATCATTCATCATGGTAAACCGCAGGGGAACCACCACAAAAATGTTTGAAATAAACCTAATGAGGCACTTAAATCACTTTCACCCAGCTGAACATGCCCAACTTGAAGAAGGGCAAAGTGGCTAAAGCTAAAGCTAACCAGAGCTCAGAGCTAGCCAGATGTCAGCAACCTCAACCTGAGGCAGCGTGAGCCTCGGTATGAGCAGTAAAGGAATCAAAGCAGTTAAAAGGAAAATTATGGAGATGAGTGAAAAAGAGAAAAAGGTTGATGTCCTGTTATCTGGTAATTTTATAATTTAAAGGAAAATGATATGATGATATATGATATAAGCACCTGACACTTGTTTTGTTGTACAAATGCTCCTGCTTTGTTTGGGAAGGTAAAATTTGTCAGGTAAAGGTGGGTGTATAGCAACTTTATTATTTGCACCCCTCTATTTTTATTTAGAGAAAATGTTAAAGCTTAATAATTTATCTTATTTGGAAAATAAAATGAAGCATTTTATGGCTGTTTGGCTGATTATTGTTTGGTGCATCAGTGAATCTCAAATCTAATGCATTGTTTTCTGTAGTTTTGGTCCAAAACAACCGGACTAATTATCCTTTAAAGCCATAAATACTTTTTGTTCACAGCTGGTAAGTGTTGGTTGCTGGGTCACTGCCTGCCTGTTCAGTAGAAGGGAACATTAAGAAAGGCAGAAATACAATTCAAATACACATGTAACATTTAACATGAATCTGTCAAAACAATTATTATTTTTGAACTGTTAGTGTTGTTGTGCTGCACCTTTGGTATGCATGTCAGATCTTATTAAGAACAGCTTTTAAACATTTATCTGTTTTATGTGTGGAAAATGTGTTGTGTCTTTGTGATGGTCACCAGCCATATGTATGTAGGTCTCTCAGTATCTGTGGGCAGCTGATTTGAGGCTGCACATGAGACACAGCTCTATGTGCCATGGCGAAAGCTATCAGTTTTTGGTAGGGCATGCTCGTATTACAAGAAAAACACTTGGCTTCGTGATCATTTTGATGGCATTACTACAGTTTGCACATCGTGCAAATGTTGCTAATGGTGAACACTGCTGTTCACCATTTGATCAAGTTGGTCTATAAAGTCTTGGAACGACTAGAGTTGCATTTATTTAAGCCCATAATATGTGTAGGTAGTAAATAGGAAGTCAGTCGGTTAAGCTAGAGGAAATCCTGGTCATGCTAACATCTGCAATCAGCTAATTTGAGATATCAGCTAAACATTTTTGAAGAAAAAAGGTATCTAACCAACATTTGTGTTTTAGCCGTTTGTGAAGAGAATATCAACAGCGAGGCAAAATTAAAAGTAAAAAGTAAACAAAATAAAAAATAAATGAATAAATCAAAAAGAGAGACAGAAACATAGAAGGGGATAATGACAGTTAACAATGGCTGTCCACTTGCTCCATCTGCCACTGGGGTTTTCTTGATTAATCATGAAGGAATTTGCGACATGGCTCATACCATAAGAGAAAAACAAACTGTGGAGACCACAATGAGAAGGGCTCACTCCAGATATTGTGCAGATGACAATATCACAGCCATACATGCAAACTCACACACACGAGGTTATTACAGGTTATTTTAGCTTGTATTCCTTGAGGAATACAAAAAACCCCTGCCACACTCTAATGCTTAAACAGAGTCAAAGCTCTGCTCGGTAGCAATAAAAGCTCCTTTTACACGTGTGTAAAATGCCTCATAAAGACCTAAAGACCCAGAAAATGCGGGAAACAGTCCTTTTCTATCCTGGATAGCTCCTGTAAGATTCATATCACTGTTGTGCTATGGAGCCTTTCATTGAATTATCGAATTACAATACAGAAAACAAGGTCTTAAAACGCTCCATTAGCATAACAGGGCAATAATACTGAGTTTCAATCAAAAAAGAGAAAAGAGGAATATTGTTCCACTTTGTTCCAGTTAGCCTCATTCCATTTCTGTGAGAATACCTAAAAGCTGCAGATAGTTCCCTTTAAATCTGAAAAGCCCTGAGCATTTTTTTTGTCCTCTTAGCTCCTCCTCCCTCTTTCATCCTAATACCTCCACTTCCCTGTATAAATGTATCATTACAGTATCATTATGTCTATGGTATCCCCCCCAGCCTCCATTTACAGGGACTTAGGTACTGTGTTCTGGGACTTAGGTGGACCCATTATGTTATTAAGTCATTATGAACCGGGACACAGAGAAAATAATACCCATAATGGGAGCTACATTGGGCACTGCTTAAGTCTATAACTATAACTCCCATCCTCCCTGCTTTCCTGCCTATTTGTCTGTCTGCCTGTAAACCTGTACGTGCTCTGTGTCATGTTACACATACCCAACAAAGCTATTTACCAGAAAAACAGAAAAATAGTGTGAAGTGAAACTTCTGATTTATTTAATTATGTAAACATGTGTTGGCAACAATGGGCTCACCCCAGAATTAGGATATGCTGTCCACCCCAGCTCAGCTGTGGCCACCCGAGTGTCCATCAAGGTCTCTGCAGCAAAGAAAGAAAAAGACAGAGAGAACCAGCGGTTAGCCACACAGAAGCTATTTTGAGTACCATCCCACACAGCTAAATTATATTCAAGCCCCAGTGATCGCTTGACACTCATTGATGAACAGAAAGCAAGAATCCCTACAGTGTTTCATCCGTCTCTGTTACTCTTCTGTTAAGACTAGAAACAAATCCTTGGCACTTTGCTGGAAGGAACCTCTGAGAGACTAAAAAAAACTCTTTGCATTGTGTTATCTCGCTATATACAGTACTAGACTACATCCTGCCTTTGTCCTGCTTATATGTGTGCAAGTATTATGAAAGATAAGTGGGTATGTTGATACACTGTATGAGGTTTGCAGATGGCCTGGCAAAAAGAGTTGGCTTCACATATGAAGAAGGAGCCCTCCAAGGTTAGGCTCTGATGTATTTGCGTCAGCTTTCCTTAACCTAAAGTTATGAAAACGCATATATCTGCAAGCCATAAAATGTTTTTTAATTTCAGATTAATTAGCTAATTTTCTAAACGCCTGCCAAAAAACATGATGACCTATGTTGGATAACTTTAGGCTACACAAAATGAAAGAGTAACACAATACAGCCTGAAAAAGGAAGAAAAAAGTACAGAGAAATGTTCAAGGATTGGATTTATCTTTGTTTGGACTTTTATTATACAACATGTCATATCTGGCCACATATCAGTGCAATATGAGAACACAGATTGCCCCCTTCCTAATCCTCAGGGACATAGCTTAGACAAATAAGTCTGGCAGCTCACACCAGAAGTTTATCAGCTCTTTTTTTGATTAATATCTGCCTTGCTGGTACATGATATGTTGCTCAAGGAAAGAAGAGAGAAATATGGCAGTTTTCACAAAGCGCTCACCTGCCCCTCTCCCTGCAATACAGATTTATAGAGCGATGGACTAACTGACATGCTGGCCTTAGCAGAGTAATGATAGATTGATAATTTCCCCTGTAACAGACAGTTTATCCTCGGTCCTAAAACATTAATATTACAGAGAGTGAACCAAAGGATATTTCACATTTTCCGATGTCCCCTGCCACGACATACACTCCATTGTGTTTGTTGTTTTGTGTTGTGTCCAGACAGATTAAAAACTGCGAGACAGAAGGGTGAATGGTATGCTTGTGTGATGATCTGCATTCTGTAGTAGACAAGCAGAAAGTGTGTGTGTGTGCAATTTTCATAGGAACTGTAGTCGTTGTGTGTTTGGCTTGGAGCTCTTCCACTTTCACAGCAAATGGTTGGCTAGCACAACCCACATGTGTTGTTGATAAGGGAGAAATCTCACTCTGATTAAATGCATAGACACAACGATGCCCTCTTTCAAGATTTCCAGGAGAGGTTCCAGCCCTCATCACCCTCCCTTTACCTACTCCCCCAGAACAAGCACGCACTCGCAGATGCTGCTAATTTGGAGTCTCACTGAAGTCGCTGTGCATTTTGAAATCATTCCAAATGACGGAACACTCAAAGCCCGTCATCCGTGGTTCAAGAGCGTTGGTTAAAAAAAATTTAAAAACAAGTACATTGTGGTAAGGATGAGTGACAAGCCACCTGTAAGAAGAAAAGAGCCTTTTCATTCTCAATCTCTACTTACTGGGAGAAACTGTCCTCAGACATGAAACCAATTAGCCCCTGCACACACAAGCACTCACAATGCATGTTAGGACACACGCAGATGGACACCCGTTCTGCTCATGCACCAGCCAACTTAGAGAGCAATTTTCTGTGTACACCTACAGTGACAGCCTTGTTCACACCCAGCTTCCATCAGAGTATTTCAATTTCCCTAAGATCAGCCTTGCCTTGTCTAGTTTCCACAGCCAGCCAGCTCCAGCCTGCCTGCCTGCCTGCCTGCCTGCTTGTACGACTTGCTGTCAGCTGGGGAGATAGGAGCATGAAACAGCCCTCAGCGCCAGCCAGCATTGTGGGGACTGCCAAACCTTTCTCTGGGGAAATCACAGAAGCTTTAGTCAAATCACACAGGCTCTTGGTCGACCATTTTTTTTCTATTTCCTTTTAAAATGGAAGGGGGAGGGTTGGGGTTGGAGGGGATTCGGTCTAAGATAGGATGCGGAAACGAAAAAAAAAAAAAAAAGGTCAAAGGCCCAAGGGAGGGGTGGATGAGCAGAGTCATGTGGTCTAATGCCTACCATTAGCAGAATATCAAAGTAGCGGATGAGTAAATGGAGTATGCTAAGTGGTGATTAGCAACGGGGAGGGGCTCGAACAGCCATCATGGCATTGCTCGCACACCTGTCCACTGGCACTGGAGATTTTGAAAATGTCCCTTGTGTATGTGCATGTGTATGTGTATGTGTGGGGCTTTTAAATGAGCACTTCTGTGAACCGTTCATCCATTAAATGATAAGTGGATTTGAATAGTTTCATTATAAAATCAACTTAATTACACGAAACATCTCTTCGAAAAAGAGGAAACATTGTTTTTTATTGCTGAAATTACAAGTTATCTAAATAGCCTAAGGTTACACACTAATTAAATTTTGGTATAGGTATTTTTTAAATTTATTTAATATTGGGTAATATTGGGTAAATAATAAACAATTAATCTGTTAGTTTAATTGGTTATTATAATGAGTTTTAGTTTCAGTTGATTGCCTGTTTCTCTGTTGCCCCTGTAATGGAGTGGCGATCTGTCCAGGGTGTACTCTGCCCCCCCACCCCACCCCCAACACAAACACAATACAGTATGGAGTGCAGTTAAAAACAATACATTACTGAAAATTGCGTTTCAAGGACCCGGGATGTTTATTGTCTGTCTAGAAGCTTAATGTTGGGTTACTCCTTAGCATTGTAAAAGCAATTAGTCGTCCATGCACTCCAAGTTTACAGCAAGTCATTTGCAAGGCAAGGAAAGGACCTTGCCATGTCCCTAGTGTTTGGAAGGTAGCCCAGTGTGTTTTCTTCTGTATTCATATTCTGCTATGTCAGCTCCACCTACAAGCTCCACTAAATTAAGACCAGGCAGTTTCACCAGTAGTTGAGTCTTTGTGAAAATTGTTAACATGTAGAGATTAATGTTAACTAAGCAGCCACGGCTCATAAATCTATTGGAAAACAATGGCTTGTAGGTGTCGGCGTCACCAGCCTTAAATACATTCAAGGATCCGTAAGGCTCGAGGCTGTATTGCAACTGCATCACAGAATATTAGTTACCCTTTATCATACAATGGATGTAGCTTGGATAACACTGCAAGAGTACCAGTCAAAACCCAAAAGTCGCAAGCCAAAGCCAAGACTCAGATGAGGCCTTGCAGCTCCCAATCCCCGAGAGCACAGCTCCTTCTTATTAGCAGCAAGTGATAGATCAATACCAAATGGTAGGTTCTGGAAGCAGCCTACCATTTGGGGCTAGAGAAAGGGAGGGAGAGAAATGAAAGAGTGAGAGAGACTACATTAAACATTGATGGGGCTCTGCATTATAGATCGATAAGGCAGCTCTCTTCGCACAATTACACGTCAGCAAGCAGTCGCATGACACATCGCATAGACACGCATGATTACGTGGAAGTTGTACACACTAAAGAACATCAATAGAACGGGAGTTCAGTGAAGGAACAACAGCAAAAATGAATTGGCCAATCTCTCTGCCCTCTTTTAGCTCTCATGCATGACTTTAATTCTACGCTTTAAAAGTCAGAATGCCAACATGTCTGTGTAATTCCCTCCTTTGCAGCCAATCTGAGACTGTATGGCCACTAGTCGATACAACATGTGCCGAAGTGCCTCTCTGAAGCTTCCTGGCTCCTCAATCAATACAGCAGGCCATTCTCCACGGATTTCCATTCTCTTTCCATCTTTTACATTCATCTATTCTTTAGCCTCCCCCCACTCCCCAATGTCCTCCTGTTCAAGGATGCTGGTATACTTTGTAATTCAATGAGACAATCACGTCCAGATGCAGGATGCAAAGCTTTAAGGGTCTTCTCTTTGTGACTGTAGCAGCAAAGCGAAAGAAGATCTGAGGCCCTTGGATGACATTATGTAAGTGGGGTTTATCTTTTCTTGGGGGGATGGAATCAAGATGGTCGGATAAAGAATGAAAAAGAGGGAAAAAAAGAAGACAAATAGACAGAAAGACGGAGATGAAAAACCAAGTGGAGAAATCAGCGGGATTGGAATGAGCACTTAACAATGATGAAACCCCATGGTAGCCTGCTGAGCCTGGCATCTTAATACAGGGCTGAAAACAAAGTGACAAACAAACACGAACGAAAGATGCTGCATCTCCCAAACTAATCAGCCGTCCACTCAGGGGACTTATGAATATAAAAAGAACGTTTTGACAGAGTGAAGTATTTTCCGAACAAATCATGTGGAAGTGTCTCACGCAGACAGACACCACTCATTCGACTGATTTCGAAAGAAAAGACTGCTTCACATCCAGCATGGTTAAGGCCATTTAGCAGATTTGGAAACTGCAGTTATGGCACAGTACTGCTTCAGGGGGAAGAAGAATATAAAAAGGCAATATCTGATTGAGTCACCATGTTCAACAAAGAAGACAATCCATACAAACACAGATGTGAGACTTCTCTACTCCGTGCCACACTAAAGCTCTGTCACTCATACTGAAGGATTTTTACTTTAAATAGAAGATACAGAACAGGCAACTGAAATGCATCAAAAGAAATGTGTTACTTCAATGTCCCCCTGAAGACAGAAATGACAATGTGACTAAATTTGAAAACTGAAGGAAAAAAAAAAAAAATCTGCCAGCCTCCTCCGAGACATTAGCGCGGAGTGATGGGATACACAAGTCCTGCATCTTCTGAGCCACAGACTCCATTAAACGAACAGGCTCACAAATTACAGATTGCCCACACTCATACACACAGATTTAGTAATAGCGCGCCTGGCTAACAGTCACTCACGACGGCTGTGTGAAAATATAATTTTCGCTCCGTGGAAGAAGAGCAGACACGTATGAAAGACAAAAGAGAGAGAGTCT